TGAAGCCATCGCCGGGACAGAGTAGTGATGAGTATCGCAATATCGTGCGTCACCATGTTGACATTGCAATCATTCTCAAATGAAGGCTCTGAAAGAACAGCGCGCTATCGAGAGTTAGTAGGAATCAGAAAGAAAAAAGGAAATGTGGGTAGGTCAAAGAATCCTCCAGCACTGCTGCTCAATCACTTTTTCAGATGCAGCATCACCCATTCTCCATTAGGAATCAAAGTCGTATACGGCATGCATCCCACCCACTTTTAGAACTGAAGTAGCTTCTGATTACTATAAGACCTGCAATGACTTATGGGGTCAGTTAGTGTGCAGGTTATGTTTTATTCTCTCAGAAAGGTCTGACAACAATTTACTAGCCCCCAGGGATAGACACCTCGGTTTGAGCTGAAAAAGCGAGCTGAACTTGTCAAAAATGCCATTTCTTTGCACGTTCAAAATTTTTTCGGTAATAGACAATAGTGCTCTTGGGACAGTGTGAGACAGTATTCTTGGCATCTGAACTTTTCTAGGACAGTCTGTTCGGAGCTCCATTTCTTTGGCGTTCAGATCCTCTTCAGAGGGAAATCTCCTCTCACTGGTTGACTCGTGTAAGTGGCGAGAATCGTATGATGTCGTGCGCTGTGCGGATTTTTCTCATCTTTTCCCTGCAACGGCGGCTTCTGATTATAGAAGAATATTGAATAAAACATAATGGTCAGAGAGATTACAGGAAGAGAAGAGCCGCAGATAGTGGTTCCCATTATGTTACGTCTTGTCTTGCCACACTTTCGTACTTCAAGATCAGAGGAAAATTCCGTCTTTTGGCAGTGTTCTTCGGAATTCGGTGTGACAGGTCGTAGATGAAGTTTCTGCGGTTACTCCATAACTCAAATCTGCTTGCCCAGGCTTGAATAAAGCTTCATTAAAAGAAACATCAAGCACTGCTGTCATCTCAGTTCTGTCAACACTTCTGTTCACTTTCTCTGGGGAATCTGCTGTCACCTCGAGGCGACGATATCGGTGAAAGCTGCTGCAGCATCATGTCGGCTCTCAAGGCATTTCATCCTAAAAAAGCTGTCAAGAAGCTCGAAGAGTTCATGGAGGCCAAATGTGGTTAATTTGGCGGATGGGAGGGGGGATTTCTTCCTAGTTCATTCAGTAGCTCTAAAGTACGTTGTGTGACCTGGGGCCGAGCGCTGTTCTATAGTAGAATCGGTTCCTTGCTATTGACTGGCGCCGGCCCACGAGCAGAACTTTAATTAGTCAATCTCTCGACAATACGTCTCAGCTGTGTTCAGCCCAGCGTTCACATCCTGCTTACTATATCCATCTACCATTGGCAGTAAGTCCGAAATCCGGGTCATGTTTGGGCATTATCGTTAAGTTTGCCCTCGCCAAATCACTATCTTCTAGG